GGGTGAAGCAGAGTTTAGGTGCTAATGGAAAAGGAACTTTACAAAAAAAGTTGGACTCTGGACTGTTTTCACTGCAGATGAAAACAGTACAGAGCAGAGCTGTTGAGGCAAACAGCACTCCAGCACGTAGAACAAAAAATATGGACCTGTGTGTAAAATCAGGCCAGACCGGAAGCAGCTCTATTTTATTAACCGGACGACGTAAATTTTGACTTCAACTTTAAACTCTCTGAGAGGTTCACGCCACTGGCGGTGGAGGCTGAGATTGGACCACATCCGAGGCATAACGGGAGAAAGTTGGACCAATTAACACCAGACAGGGAGGTCCAGCACAGACGGCGGGCAGCCAAATTAAGTCCCGGGGGAGGCAGGAGCCCCAATCGCCTGGCAGGGGAAGCACTGGTCATGGGTTTGCGGCCCGCCAAACGCAACGCCGGCCAGCCGAGCGCTGATGGAGGGCCCTCTGCGTATGACGCGGTGTACAGGTGCCGACTACGTGCCAGCGAGGGCCAGCCATGTCTGACCGCCGCATTCAGTTGACAGGACTGCTGACTTGTGCAATTCCCTCCAATCAGAAAGCCAGCCATTGATTTTAAGATGATACCATACGTATCGGATTACGGTACGGTCGTGCGGCGAAAAATTGCATTTGATCAAAATCGATAAACGATAGTCAGCAGAAGATTATGTGACATCAGAGCGTTGACCACAGGTGTCGACTCCATGACGGTTGAACTGGCAGATTCCTACAGCACTTTGCCGACGTTCACTTTGTCCCACCTTAGAGCGCCATGACCTCTCTGTGACATCACACTCAAAGAAGCGACACCACATTCTTTTCTGGATTAATGATGGTGCCCCCCAAGTCTTGGACACCCCCCCCCCCACGTCCCACCTCATCTCGCACCCGCCGAGCCAGCTATCCCACTCCCCCAAATGTTTTTATTTTGTTTTGCCTTTACTTGTAGTTAGTTAAGAGCATCATGGGAAAAAAAAAATCAGAAGACTCCGCCCAAAAGGGTCTGTCAGCTTGAGTAATCATCAGTTTGAGTGTGTTTTTGTTTCCTGAAGTTAAGCAGCATTAATAAAAGCACAGAGTCATAAAGCGGCAAACCCCCCCCCCCCAGCACCTCACTTTTATGATGTTGCTGTTGGACCTGTCTGTGTGCGTACCGTAGAGGATGGAGCAGGAATCCATATTAAAGGCCCCCTCCCCGGACCACAGTCACAGAAATGAACTCCCCCAGCGCGAGACACATTAGCCCCCGTGTCTGGGGGACCCCACGGCTAATAATAGCCCCCCAGTCGTAAAGAGGGTCCAGTGGATCAGATTCTTTCGTTTGATATGTGTGAAATACAATATTTTTTTCGGCTCTGATGCTGTGTTACTGGCCCTCTATGTAAATCTGCGTGAAATGGCAGTCTGGCCTGCGGTGTAAATCATCACACGGCTGTTTATGATGGCTGCTCGGCTCTGCTGTGACGTTCTGCTTTTTTTGGTGAAGGGGGGTGTGGGGGTGGGGGTGTCAGTGAGTCAGTGAATGAGTCAGTGTTTAAGGTAAAATGTGCTCTCTGATTAAAATGTAACAGCGCAGCTAAATTTGTTTACGCAATGTCAGACTTTCAAGATGCATCATTAATAATGTTAAAATCAATGATTTATTTTGATTTTATGTTGCCTTTGCTGGGGTTCTCACTGATTTTTAGATAGCTCCTGATTTGAAAGCGCATTGCGAATCATCGTGAATAAATACAGAAGCAAATGGAACAGGCTTCACATCTGAAGGCCCACAGAAGCAAATCAATGTACAGTCCAGATGATCCAGTGCTGTGACATCCTTTCTTATCACGCGAAGATTAAACCGGATCACTGCCAAACAGACATTACAGCTTAAGCAACCTCAGTGTGTGTGTGTGTGTGTGCAGTTCCCATTAACATTTAGTCCCCACAATGTTATAAAAACCTGTTATTTTGCTCTTGTGGGTAGAGATTTTTTGGTCCCCACGAGGGCAAACTCAATTTTGTGGATGCAGTCACAGAAATAAAATAACCAAAAGTCTTGAATTTGGTTTGGTTACTTCTGGTTAATGTTAGGGCCGGGTAGTGGTAAAGGTTATCATAACTGGGATTAAGGTTATGCCCATAGAAATGAACAGAGAGTCCCCACAAAGATATACTGTAGATACCTATTCTGTGTGTAATGGTACGTGTGTTTTCCTCTTAGTGTGAATAGAGGAAGAGCACGTGACAGAGTAAAGCCCCACCCCCAGGGACTCAGGGTTTCAGAGAAATTCAGACAGTACCCTCTGTCTTTCAGCTCTCCGGAAGTGGGCACAGCTTAATGTAAGGTCATTGTGCCGTTACATTCCAAGGATAACTGCGCGGAACACCGTCCCATCCGCCTTCCTGTCCTGGAGGGGCCATCTGAAAACATAATTGATTCCGATATTAAAGGGAACAGGCCCGGACAGCATTCCGTGCATGCTGAACTCTCCGGTGCGGTTAGCGAGAGAGCCTTTCCTCCTTATCCAGGATAAGGTTACATCCCGCACTGTCTTTGCTTTGACCAGCTCATAAAATAGACCTCATAAATATTTTTCATGTGTTATTTAAACTAACTCAACTCCCAGTGGCAAGAGAGCTTGATGTTTTTGAAATGTCCTTAGAGGCTCCGCGAAACATTTTGGGAGCCGCAATGCTGTGAATGCTGGGAGCGGCCGTAGAGACAACTCGCCTCTGCGATAGAGTCCGCGAACCGGACGCTTTTACGCGCGTCTGCACTGCGGCGGCTGCATTATTATTATTATTATTATTATTATTATTATTATTATAGATAATATAATTACTAATAAAATAATCATTACTGTTATCGAATTTATCGTTATAAAATATTTACAGTTGTCTCATTCTTTTACAAAAAATCGAGGATATATATATATATATACACACACACATACATACATACAATTTTTCGTAAAAATTGTTAATTATTAATACTACATAAAATACTACATAACTACAAACTCATCAGTCTGGAAAAAAATGCATCGTTTGCAGAATATGCCGATATATGCCTATCGTATAAGGTGAAACAGAAAATATGCTAGCAAAAATTACACACTCTTGTTCTGACGGCTGACAGTTTTACACTAGGCACTAAAATACAAGGCAGAACATTTTAAAAGCTCGGTTGTTTTATTTTTCTCTTTGCTGCGTTGGTTCTTTTAATTTCGTCTCGCAGTGCGCGACTGCGGCGCCTATCCGTTTCAGCTCCGTCATGGACACCTTTCATTCATCGTTCCTTTCAATCTCACCTTTCTTTGGATTGTATTTAATTCATTTTTATTTTTATTCGTTAGCTCCTTAGGCCTAGAACAAATATAAAACACATAAGGTAGTTTATTTTACCACAATTAACATTTTAGTTTTCCCTTGCAATACACTGAAACCGAAAATAATATTCAATTAATACAGAATTAAAATTTATTGTAATTTTACTGTACTAATACGCGTGACTCTCTTCTCTCATGAAACGAAATAGATAGATAGATAGATAGATAGAAAAAGAAACTAAATATAAAATAAATTAAAATAACACAGATGGAGACGCATACTTTCTCATAAATAAAATAATCCTGAATCGCACATATCTCTTACGTTATTCGATTTTCACTTCATCCTACTGTGTTTAATGGGATAGAGAAATAGCAAGCATTACTAACACCGAAATCTAAAATTACCAGTTTCAGATAATATCAGTCCTTAAGATAATTGGGATACATTACTATGACGTTATATTGATGGCGCACTACATTGATCATTATTTTTATAAGGAGACTTTATTATTATCATCATCACGCGCCGCCTTGTACACGAATGTCTCCGAAATGTAGGCTTAATTTTTAATTTTTATTTTTAGTTATTAGAAAAGAATTGTCCATAAATCGCTTTCTGTCCCAGAGTTTTGACAGAAAAATTTGTATGGGTGCCCCCAACCCGCATCAGACATCGCGGTGTATTTGGGACTAAATCCTCAGGGAGCACTTTAAACGCAAACACCGTTTCATTAAAAAGGGGCTCCCGTTGCTGCTGTAATTAAAACTAAACAAGAGCCCGTGAACTGAGGAAGTGTATTGAAAGGTGCCATTGTATTATCGACGGGGATGTATCCTCAAAATCAACGTACGGACCTGCTGATATATATATATATATATATATATATATATATATATATATATATATATATATATATATATATAATACTATCCCTTACACAGACACACACACAAATACACACACAAAATAAATAATACCGATGGATTATATATGCAGACAAACACATATAATATATATTATTTACATACACACACACACCATCCATCTGTGTTATTTTGTGTGTGTGTGTGTATGTGTGTGTGTGTATTTTTATTTTCAGGGAGGACGAACGTGTCCCTCCATGCTGCGTCTGAGTCCGTAAACCCGGGCATGACCGTAGGCTAACTGCTTATTTTAACAAATATATTATTTCACCTTGTTTTACGAAGGTGTTCGGTGAACAAACCCTGCTTTGTATACACCTGGGTTCACTCCGTAAGCGGGTTTCTGCGGGAGGTCCGGCTTTATAAACAGCTAAAAGGTGCAGATGCTGGATAAATGAAGGTGAGCAAACGGACATCTAGGAAGAGTTACATGGTGTTAGAAATACTAATTAAGAAAAACCATTGAAGTCGAGTTATGACAGCAAGGCACGGGAACAGCGTGTCAGTGAATGGTCATGCCATGTGTTCTGACGATACTTAAAAATTACGACGTTTTTTTTTTAAAAGAAAAAATATAAAAATCGTAGCAAATCCACTTACTATAGTATAAAGAGAAGTCATTTAACATACATAAATATATATATTTTTATTTATCGTGCACTGAAATGGAAAAGCTATCTTCCACGAGTAGCTGTTTATATCTTTATAAATACCAATACTTAAACGTACAACCCACCTCGTACAGTTCACAAATCAATTTTATTAATTTAAACACAAAACAATAAAGTCAAAAATCTGTACACATCTTTTTGCAGACACAACAAACTTTTTGTTTAACAATGAGGCCCCAGTAATGTAAATTTTCCAGTTTGCATTATGATTGCAACATAAAAAGCTCGCCGTAAATATCTAAAAAAACGTTTCATTGCCTATGGTGACCTTGATCTAGCAGCAATATGACGCCCCCACGCCGGGGAGCAGTTGCTTTCAGAGGAGAGAAACCAGAAAGTCCGGTGCAGTTTGCCGGGTGTTTGTGTGTGACGAGGGAGACGCCAAGCAAACGCCTCTTAGGGGAAATTCACATTGTAGAGCACACGGGTGCGAGTGCGCGTTCGTGTGTGTACGTGATCGTGTATCTACGTGCGTGTGTATGTGTGATCGTGTATGTACGTGCGTGCGTATGTGATCGTGCATGTACGTGCGTGCGTGTGTGATCGTGTATGTACGTGCGTGTATGTTTGGTTGACCGTGTATGTATGTGCATGTGTGTGTGTGTGTTCGTGTATGTACGTGCTCGTGTGTGTGTGTTCGTGTTCTCGACCTCGAGGTCCGAATACACGGTTAATCCAGATCGGGTAGTTAGGGAAGGTTAACTATAGGACTGTACGAATTTAAACTACTGCGATCAAAATGGACAAGGACTACGATTTAAAAATCAAAATTAACATGACTTCTTAAAAAGACTACTTCATAAAAAACAATTGGTGAACAAGACTCTGTGGTAGCGCTTGTTAAAAAAAAGTGACTTTTTCCTAAAGAGGATGAGGTTTAGTCTTAGTTCAAATACTAGTTACACTGGTTACAATGGTGGTGAAAGGATGACACCTACATTTGTATATGAGATTTGTGAGATCATACTCGTTTTCAGTTTATATGATCCCACCATGTATGGATGTGGCAACTTCCATCCTTTACTTTGGTGTTCAGTTCTGCTGACTCTTCACCGAAGACCCAGCACAGGGCAGAGGACACCCTCAGCGAAGTCCAAACTCAAAAACACACGTCACGTTAAAGCAAATTGCTCTGACGGGTTTGCATTTTAGCAGAACCTCAAGGCCGTAAAAAAGGTATAGATAGACAGAGAGAGAGAGAGAGTTGTGGGAGAAAGACAGACCCGAACAGAAACAAAGTCATGATTGACACTTGACATCCATGCTCTTTTGGTCTTGACAAACCAAGTTATCACAAATCCTGTATCTACATATTTATACCATGGAGGAGAATGTGAAGCACATCAACACTTTAAGGCATAGCACAGGCTGGGTGCGAGGCCTTCAAACACATCGGCATCGTTCAATAGCACAGACCTAACAAATGAAGAGGGTTAGGGTAATCCAGTGATTACAAATTTAGACACACAAAAGGATCTCATCTGTACACGATTGTCTCAGCAATGTAAATAAAGTTTTTTTTTTAAATCTTAAATTATTAGAAAACCATTTTCCATAAAGAATTTCTTCTTGATAGGATCAAAAGTACTTTGCACTGTGAAAAGGCACGAGTCTCTCGACGAAGTACCTTTAGGGGGCGCTGTCGTTCACATGCCCTCAGCTCTAAAATTTGCATGGGTGCCCAGGGCGGGGGTGCCCGGGAGGGCTCTTGCCACGAGCAGGCCGGCGGGCCCCGTGTCTCTGTGCCGTAGGGGGGGGGGGTTGGAGTGTTGCGGGGCCAGGCGGGGCCAGTAGCCCGTCTGGTCACAGGTGCGAACCCCCGGCCCGGCTCGGCCCGGCCCAGCCAGCTCAGGCGAGGCCATAAAACATCCTGATGGCTTTTCCAAGGAGCCCTTTCACAGTAACTGGGGCCAGCAGCTGCGTGCCCATAATTCACCGTCCTCCGTTTAGGGAAAGGTCAGGGGTTAAGATGAGCCGAGGCAGCACAGCGGGGGCGGGGCGGCGGGCACGGGCTGGGCGGGGAAGTGTGGGGGTCCGGGGCAGGGCGGGGAGGTGGAGGTTTCTGGGCTGTCTGCCGCAGGCGCTACAAGTAGTCCAGCTCCAGAGCATGGTGGAGAGCCATAAGGTCAGAGTGGCTGGAGATCCTCCAGAAAGGCATGTTGTGCTGGGGGCAGAGAGGGAGAAAGCAGCAGCGTCAGTGGCGGGAAACACGAGGGGCCCCAAAATGCCAGGAAGGGGCCACAAAGGACCCCGTCCCCGTGATCGCTGGGAGCGAGGAACCAGTCCGGCACCAAAAATAATGGCTTGACACGGAAACTCTTACACACCCCAATGTGTAACAAACCCAGACTCAATTCAATTCAATTGATTTTTTTTATATAGTGCCTTTCTCAACATAAGGGACTTCAGAGGAGTGTGTGTCAGGTCATCATTTATACTACATCATTTATACAAAATGGTCCATGAAATCCCAGCCAGATTTCGGGGACAACAGTCCTCGAAAATGCATGTCTAGCTTTTTGGGATAAAACCCACTTTCGTTAACATCAGAAGTAACAAGAAGAGACGCCAGTGTGGAATTGGGTTCCTCCTCGTGGAGACTGCACCGGCTTCTGTTCGGTTGGAATGGGCACACCTCGGGGGCTGGATACGGCGTTAGCGACGCGTGGGAATGTGTGGACGGTGAAGAGGCCCCCTCACGCTGGGACACAGCCCATCAAAGGGAGCCGCTTCCTGCCTCGTCGAGCCGCCATTGACCCCGAAAGGCTCCCGTCCTCTTCTTTGTGAAACTGCCTTTGCTTTTGACTTTTAAAAGCTTGAGATGTTATCTCGTCCCCCATTCACAGATTTAATAACTGGCCTTGCTTTCTGGAACCCCCCCGCCATCCCCCCACCAGTGTTTGCTGTTTTGTGGGGTGGGGGGGGGTGTCTAGAGTTTCTCACAGCATCAAACCACCACTCACCCCCCAACCCTCCCTGCGTTAGACTGTGACGGATCACTTTTACTTCTGATGGTCTTGTCTGGACATCTGCAGGTAGACGGCCAGCAGACACAGCAGAAAGACGCAGTGATTCGACAGCAGAGATGTCAGTCATGGCAGCTGTCCAATGACTGCTCCTGTGAGCGAGGACACTGCTTCACACTGCCAATCCAGCCTGCAGCAGTAGTGTGTAGCTCTCTAAAGATACAGACTGTCTTGGGCTTGCAGCTTATCGTGGGTGAATTTGATTTGCATTAAAAGCTTAGCAAAAAAAAAAAAGAAAGAAACAGCTGAATACCAGACAGAATCATGAACTCCTGGCAGCAGCCAGCAGGTTTGACAGGTATGTGTGATGTGACGAGACAGCACCTCCACACACAGCCTGCTGCACGCCAAAGCCCCATGCCGGCCAAGGCCCTATGCTCAGGAGCTCGGAATATCGCCATTCCGTCTGCCAAGCTGCCTGTCTCTTAAAGGCACGCTCTCTTAAAGGGCAGGCCTTGTTTATTGTGGCTGAATGGACCGACCGAGCGATACTCCAGCACGAAGTGTATATCATTAACCCTTCTGTCAATCTGAGCCCTCTGAGATCCCTGAGCAGTGCCCCACAGTAGATCAGGGGGGCCGTGCTGCTGTGGGCGGGGGGTGGGGGGGCTTACCTTTTTGGAGCCCTGTTCCTCTTCCACTCCGTCTCCCACGACAATGTAAACAACTTTCCTTCCGAAGCGCTGGATGACCCTCTCGAAACAGCTCTCTTTGCCTGCAGACAGAGGGAGACGGAGATCAGCCTGCTCCAATAGCAGCGCTGTGTAGCTGTGCACTCCGCTACGACACGTATCACGATGCCTTACACACTGTAAACCTTCACCATCGGCCTGGTGATTTTATGAGATCAGCGTCTGGATCAAAAAATGGGCCTGAAAGGCATTAAGTGCCCCCCCCCCCCCCATCCGACGAAAGTGGGACAAATGGACTTTAACAAGCTAAATCAGGCTCACATGCTAATGCGGGGGCTGGAGGCTGGGGGGGCTAATAGATCTCCCTAGTAGACGAAATCCAGTTGAAAACAGCACAAAAGTGAATGTTGATGTTTATTTAACGTTTAAGGCGGAGGGGGAAAATCGCCCTTGTGGAATGACATAAATTTGCAGAAATGGTTTCATATGCAAGCCTGGATGAGGGGGGCCAAGGGCAAGCTGCCCTTCAACAAGCTGCCCTCCTCAGAGCCGAGTGGGTGTCAGGCCTCTCTGTCTGCCCGCCGCGGCCCGACAGAATCACGTGTCACACGTTTGCTCTGCAGCTCACAGAATATTTACCGATTTTCGTTGCACTATAAATATTTTCGATGGGAAACACGATCCCCAGTCCGTAGAGTAAGACCTTGGCCAGGGCAGGGATGAGCTGCGTTGTGGTCACCAAAATATTCACACAGTTTGACCTGGAAAGAAAAAGTGTGGAGAAAAGGTGGGTATGAGAGGGTGGGGTCCAAGGGTGGGGTCCGGCAGCAGGCTGACCTAGACGACATGACCCAGACTGCGTCTCTGAATGCTGGTTCATATTTCTCTGCACCAGCACAACACTCGCATAGCCACTCTGTGTTTGCGTACACGGAAACGTTCATGGTTCTTCAGTCAAATGTGTGGTATTTACATTTTATTTAATAATGATACTAATATAAACTATTATTCTGAGATTCCCTGCACACATACCACAGCATTGAGGTTTGTGTTTGTTTATCGATGTTTTACAAATTCAGAGAGCCGGCTCACAGGGATGCCAACTTTGGCCAACTGGCTGGCGTGAGATTTTCAATTCGAGACGAGTCTGCACATTTACATGTATGTAACAGTTTTATTACCTTGTAAATAGTCTGAAGGGTTTGCAAACTACCCCAACGCTTGTGAAAAGCATCCATGGAGGTATTCAAAGTGGACGCTAGGGAATCGATCATGCGCAGTGTGTCCAGAGCTGCGCAGAGACAAATCTGAAGTGCAGCAGGCGTTTGTCCGCGGAGGAGAACAGTGACGTCAAATGCGTCATACATGTTTGAGCGGACACGTCCGCTAGTATGCGTGCAGAGAAGTATGAACCGGTCACATGTTCACCTCATAGGTAAACACCATTGCATGCATGCATTTGGGGCAGTACCCTACCTGGAGTGGATCAGCGTCAGGGCTTTGAGGGCCAGAGTTAACCAGGAATCGGTCAGGGCCTCGATTTCCGCTCTCAGCTGTAACCAGGCTTCCCGTTTGGCCGGACCGAGGAGACCTTCGTCGGGGAGAGAGGGAGATGCTATTTGTGTTGGAACAACACTCCGACGCTTTAAGGTTCGCGCCCCACCCCGCCCACCTGGCCCCCAAACCCTGCCCCCACCCAGCCGCGGGCCTCACCTCCAACATTGTTCTTATAGGTGCCGTAGATCTCTTTTACCCGCCGGTAGCGGAAGGCGAGCTTCCGCATCCAGTCGACACCGCCGCGCACACCGGTGGCCAGGCACAGGTTGGCACTGGTGGCCGCGGCGTGGAAGCCGTCCGTGCTGAAGTTGTACGTGCTAGAGAGAGACGAGATGTAAGGGTACACGGTCAGCGCGGGGGGGGCGTTGCAGGAAGGGGGTGGTGGGGCAACTGTGTGGAAATGACCGTACCTGAGGTCCTGGCCGTTGTCGTCGGACGACACGTCATCGATGTGGACCTGGTCACACTCCTGCAGGCAGATAAATGTGACCAGAATGAGTTGCATCCACCACGCAAACACCACAGGGTCACTGCTCTAACGGAGAGGTTTGCTGTGATCTAAAAGCGGCATCCAGTCTCTTGAGATTGGTGCTTCTGTTCGGGCTGCCTGCCCCTCACACCCACTCCAGCAAACCAGCAAACACACATGGCCTCCTCTGGCTTGGCTGCCTGCCTGCCTCCTGCCACTAGATGGCTCTGTTGAGATGATGAGCTCGAAAACAAGAAATCAATTGACATATTACCAGCGAGCCGTAATGATGGGCAGGCCGAAGTCTGTGTCTGCGTCTGTGAGTGGCAGGGACACACGTGCCGGGGCGTGCGGGGCCCTCTTCTGGAGAGCGCAGCGATGGTGTGGCGGGGGCCCGTGCGGCCCCTGTATACCGTAACACAAACCAGACTTTCTGCTAAATGTAACGCACTAGAGAAATTGAACCTGATGCTACCCGCCAATGAAATTATGACCTCTGATTGCCGCTGAGCCACACACCGGCACTGCCGCGGGCCCCCTTTCTAGGGGAAGCAGACTGAAAATCTGTTATTAGTTTACCATTTATAGGAGCCCCCCCCCCCGCCCCCCGGCTCTCAGAAGTACAACATTTGTGGGAGCCTACCCTTTAGCATTCAAATCAACAAATTTCACGGGAGGGGGGGGGCAGTTCAGCGACGCAAACCCACTGCTGGTGACTTCACAAGAATGTGAAAGTTTGCTGCCCTGTCCTGCCCCAGTCAGCACTGTCGCGGGGTTCTGGACCATTAAACAACGGTTATCTCGGTTCCGTTCCATCTGCTCTGCGAAGCCTATTGTTTAGGGATGCCACAGGGAGCAGTGCCGCCTTTCTGGAAGGTTCCCTTCACACGGTTTCAGACAAGGCCTCTAATGGAGTTACGGCCGGCTGTTAACACATCAAAACACGGAACGGAGGCCCTGCTCCAGCCGGGCCTGAAGTGGCCCGCACTGACGTAGCCGCATTCCTGCCTTATGCCACGACCGGGGGAGAGACAGGCCGGCAGACCGTATCCCGGCTTTATTTTACTGGTTCCCCTCTGAACAAATTTTTCATCTCCCTGGATTTGTGGGGAAGGCAGGGCAGAGAGACGTGGGGAGAAACTCAAACCAGCTGTTCTTTAACAGAATTAAAATCTTGACCCCCCAACCTCTGCTCTAATGCAGCCATTCTCTCGCCAAGCCTCTCCCAGCGAGCCTCCAGATCCGAAGAGGAAAACACTTTGACCTGTCAACCTTCTTCTCCTCTCCTGGGGTCAACAGCTTCAGATAAGGCTGGAAAGGGGTTGGGGGTGTGGAGGGTGTGTGTGTGTGTGGGGGGTGCAGGGTTGTGTGTGTGTGTGTGTCAGTGTGGCTAGCTACAGACTAGACACAAGAAAAGCAGATTTCAGACTCAGAGTAGAATCTCCTCAAGTGTGTGTAGACCATTACCAGTGTTCCCACAACCTTTGTCTTAAGCAGTGCTGACCAGGACAGCCCAAAATCATTAGGTACAGATCTGCTAATGATTCCCTACCCAGAGTCAAACCCCACCCCCAACAACACTCTTTGTTTAACCCCATTCAGTCTGAGCATCAGAGAAGCTTAGAGGGGAATTCTCCTGTGAAGTTTAACAAAGAGCGCTAATCCCTGCGATCACAGGGGCGTGCTTGTATGTTTAGGCCGAACCTGAAATCACACATTTTACACAGGCACAGAGCTCCTTTCAGGTCCCATTTAGTTGTAAATGGACCAATTATCTGCTAATTGACCGGTAATGAACTTAATGGGCTCACTCTGCGGCCCGGGGTGGGGGGGGGCGTTGCTTTCTTGGGGATGCAGGGACTCTGCTCTCTGTGTAAGCTCACAGCATCTCGCCGACCCTCGTCCTGCATCACGTCCCTCATTCTCAGGGACTCTGCTCTCTGTGTAAGCTCACGGCATCTCGCCGACCCTCGTCCTGCATCACGTCCCTCATTCTCAGGGACTCTGCTGTCTGTGTAAGCTCACGGCATCTCGCCGACCCTCATCCTGCACTGTGTCCCTCATTCTCAGGGACTCTGCTCTCTGTGTAAGCTCACGGCATCTTGCCATCCCTCGTCCTGCATCACGTCCCTCATTCTCAGGGACTCTGCTCTCTGTGTAAGCTCACGGCATCTCGCCGACCCTCATCCTGCATCACGTCCCTCATTCTCAGGGACTCTGCTCTCTGTGTAAGCTCACAGCATCTCGCCGACCCTCATCCTGCACTGTGTCCCTCATTCGCCGGACTGGGTCGAGCTCCTCGGCCGCTCTTTGGGGAGGGGCTCAGTCTGGGCCACAAACATGTCCGTTCAGTGCCTGCTCAGTGTGTGTTCAGCTGTTGACCCAGCCGAGCATGAAGACCCCCCTCCCCCCCACATTCTGCCACCCCCTGAAAATAAGGTAGACGCGATCACCATCCACTGTCTCTGTAAAACCTTTTGCTAACGCAGCGGTCATTAAAGTTTGAGGGACACAGAATAGGCGAGTGGGAGGAATGTGAGACCCCCCTCCAATTATGGATCGCAGCTGGGGAGGGTGTATTGGCAGCCATGACCACGTTGGGGTCATCCCTCATAACCCAGGGGCACCCAGGGTGATTAGGCAGACCTGCCCCAGTGGGTGTCAGTGTAACCACAGTGAGTGGGATCCGCCATCCTGCCTTTTTTTCTTTAAATATTGGAATAAGCTTCCCCCATCTCTCTTCTTTCCCTCTCTGGGGGGGGGGGGAGGGGGGTACTGTTGAAAACCCTGGGCTTGGTAGGAAGTTATCAGTGCCCCCTTTGTTCGGCACACATCTGTCACAGAGCAATCAGCTCGCTTGCTCGCCTGCTCACTTGTGGGGTGAGGTGGGGGGGGGGGTGCTGATTCTTCCTGTTGGGAAAGTTTATGTTTGGCCTGGAGCTGCTGCCGAGCGTCACAATATTTAAGAGCATAAAGCCTCCTCCCCAACAGGGGGCATTACAGTGTCGCTCTGCAGGCTCATCTCCTCGGCCAGAGCGACAGCGGGTGTCACCATGCCGGCCCATGTGACAAAGCTGGATCCACTGTTCACTGCTCCCCATTTGGCAGGAGCTGCTATCCTCCCTCCACCAGGTTCCCCTAGCAGTTAGTGACCCCCATCCCCCCCCCCACCCCGGCTGCTCTCCCACCCCAATTACCTCTGTGCAGAAGAAAAGGGTGCAGATTACCTGCGGGTCAGACACAGGTTGCGGGGAACAAAGCTGGGTCTTCAGAGCCGTGCTGAGCAGCGGCGGAGTCAAAGTGGCTCAGAGCCTTCCGGAAGCCCGGTCGGGATCCTCAGACGGCTCTTTTCCCAAATTCCCAGGGAAAAAAAAGGGGAAGTCGGCTTAAACGCTTCCTACAAGAGGGCCTCTCAGGGCAGCCTCGAGTTTTATCAACCGGAGATGTCCGCGTGCTGACAGCCACGGCAGGAACCAAAGAGAACAGCGCCGTGATAACAAACATCCGCCGTGACACGTACTGGACATCGCCGACAGCCGGGACCTTAAATCTCCCCTTAGATGCACATAACTGACGGATTTCAAGCTGTCCGCTTGTCACCATGGCCGCTACAAGAATGTAAATCTGTTGCTGACTTCAAATGAAAGGTCTGCACTGAATCACATGTGGACGTGTGAATGTAAATTATTCTTTTTTTGTTGTCAGAACAACGGAGTGACAACAACAAAAAAAAATGACAGAAACTGGATACAGACATGGGGAGATGCCAGGAAGTTCTAGAAGGCTGAGGGTGATTCAAAGCAAAACATTTTTCCGGGCCCCTCTACACAATATGAATATTGCATGTTAAAACGGGCTCCCTAATCGATTCCCCTACCTGTCAGCGGGCCGCTCCCCCCGCACCCACCTCTATGTGCCATGACTGACGCTCGCCGGTCGGGCGCGATGGCAGCACAGTAATCCTCTGTCCCTGCTCTGCCTGAACTCGTCCTTTTGTACATTATGAGGAAACCGAATATCAGGGACTTATTAAACACCTCAGATTTTTGAGTCTTCCAGGTCAGCGCTACGCGTGCCAAACAGGACTGGCGGTTTTTGTGTCTGTCTAGACGCTTTCGGTGCAGGTCCCATCCGCGGCTGATGAGCAGGTGGTGCAGTTCTGCGGATTAGCGCACGACAGCTAATGTGATTTTAAATAAGCTCGTTTGTCAGCGGTGAGCTTGTGACGGTACGCCCTGCCACAAGCCCATGGCTCCTCTTCTGTACTCTGGGGGGGGGGGGGGGGGGTGGGGTGCTCGCACCTGTATGCCTGGGCCCCGCCCACCCCTTAGGCAGTGTTGGTGATCGGCAGCTTTCGTGTCAGTGCTTTGCAGCAGGCAGGGGTTGGCCTGGGTACTGGCACTGCATTACTCTAACCTGCCCAGACCCCCACGCTGCTCTGGGACCTGAACCCTCTTCCCAGACCCCCACACAGCTCCAGAACCTGAACCCTCCTCCCAGACCCCCATGCTGTCTGGGACTCAAACCCTCCTCCCAGACGCCCACACCGCTCTGGGACATGAACCCTCCTCCCAGACCCCCATGCTGCTCTGGGACCTGAACCCTCCTCCCAGACCCCCATGTTGCTCCGGGACTCGAACCCTCCACCCAGACCTACACGTCACTCTGGTGCCCTAACCCTACTCCCAGCCTGGATATCTGCTTGCCTCAAACCTTCAGATGTACCCAATTAGTAAACAAGTTCAAACTTCGGCAGGTAGAGCTGAACAGATGGGTGACTGATGTTTGCCACAGCCTGCACCATACTCAGTGTGTAGCATACTGAGCACAGGGAGTACTGAGCACACGGCGTACTGAACACATACACATGTGATGGAACATCTGGATTTTGACAAATCGCTGTGCAGTCTGTGAAAGTGTCAAGCTGGGTTTCTGTTGCCGGTAGTGATCACCCCCGAGCAGAAGATGGAGCGGAAGATGGAGCGAGAGAGAGTGAGCGAGAATTCACTCTTCTGTTTGGGTGTCACAAGGTTACCTGCAGGTATGTGTTACTCTAATCCAAACCGCTCCCGTCCTAATCGTAGGACTCTCTGCTGTGAGGACATGCTTGCTGGTGGGGGGTGAGGGGGATGGGTGCATTCCCACACCACGCACAAGCTTGTCTTCTGGCCTGAAGCAACCCCTCCCTCACCCCCTGTTTCTACATCCTGGTTCTAACCCAGCAAGCTGACAAAACGGAAACCACAAACATCACAGACGCGGAATCAGAGACAGCGCCCCGCAGTGATCAACCCTAGGGGGTGTCAAGCAGCGGGTAACAGGGGGCTGACAAGCACAGTGAGGATGATTCTGAAAAGTCTCCGCCACAAACATGGTGTTACTGTAATAAAACACATACAGCTCTGCACCTAACCAGTCCATCACAGGGCTCGAGGCAGGGGACACCATGGACAGGATGCCAGCCTATCACAGGGCACGAGGCAGGGGA